TGAATATTCTGCTCATGTTCCTGTGAGCATTAATGATTTTTCTGTTTTTCCGTGGGGAATGGTCTTTTGGGGCATAAAGTCATCATCAAAAACGGATCATTTAGGAAATTTTCCTTTTGGCGCATGGTCAAATGTTAAATAAATTTTTTTAATTTAGTCTAATATCGGCAAGGATCAGAAAAAATGTTGTGTTACTGATATTGAATTTTCGCTTATTTGTTTCCATAATCGTTGATGAGTCGTGTTCCTGAATTTATGTTATCCATAAAATTGTTTATTGTCCCATATATGCAGTCTCCACTTTGTTAACTTTAAATGCTCAATCCTATTTTCCAATCTATCCTATAGTGAATATTTCATTATCGGATAGTAAATACAACTCACATTAGCATTTTAGCCTAATCTTCTCTTTGTGAGACTTTACACAGCATGATGCACTGTGTGAATCTGTTCTCTTTTTTTTACTCTCTTTTTCTTTTTTATTTATTTATTTATTTTTTTATTTTTTTAGATTTTTAAGATTGGATGTTTACTTGCGTGATCAAGCATTTGGGTAAGCAGTTACATTTGAATGATTTATATTGTAGCTTTGTTTGAATGATTTGTTTGGTGTGGCCTTAGAAGCAGGAAAGTGTAGTTACTTAAATTTCTCTGTTCTCTTTTATGTTCTTTCATCCTCCTGCAATTAGAATTAGCTGATGAGGTTATGAATTTTCTCCAGATTTAATGCAGTTGGATGTTTGCCAGGGATGTTTGATGGATGATGATAATACAGAACGATAAAATGTCTGCTCCTTCTTCAAGGGAGCGTGCTCAACAGCTGTATGACAAGGTATTTTCTTTTCAAATTGAAAAGTTAAATTTGTTGAGTTTTTGATTTCTCCTCTGGGCTATAGTTAATATTGTTTTGCAGGACCTTATCGTTTCCTTCCTATGAATATGAAAAATCTTATGGGGTGTCACACGTGTTTCTCTGTGCAGATAAATGAGTTGGAGAATCGGCGTCGAAGGTCTGCTCAGGCCCGAGTTCCATCAGATCCCAATGCATGGCAGCAGATCCGTGAAAATTACGAGGCAATAATTCTTGAGGATCATGCTTTTTCTGAGCAGCACAATATTGAATATGCTTTGTGGCAGTTGCATTACAGGAGGATTGAGGAACTAAGAGCACATTTCAACGCTGCTCGTTCTTCTGGTTCAAACCCATCGCAGAGTGTGAAGGGCCCTACACGGCCTGATCGACTTACAAAAATAAAACTGCAGTTTAAAACCTTTCTTTCAGAAGCAAGTGGGTTTTACCATGATTTAATAGTGAAAATCCGAGCAAAGTATGGGCTTCCTCTGGGTTATTTCTCTGAGAATTCAGATAACCAAAATGTCACGGAGAAGGATGGAAAAAGATCTGCTGAAGTAAAAGGTTTGATATCATGCCATCGTTGTTTGATATACTTGGGCGACCTTGCACGCTACAAAGGATTGTATGGGGAGGGTGACTCCAAGACTCGTGAGTTTGCTGCAGCTTCAAGTTACTACTTGCAAGCTGCATCACTTTGGCCATCAAGTGGGAATCCTCATCATCAGGTTTTTTATTTTATTTTTTAT